TCTGAATTTCCAACAATGTGCGCCTACAGCAAATGAGGTGACTTTGAGAAGCGGAAAGCGCGTTCAGGCAGCTGGGTGGTATTTGGTTGCATGTGTTGAGCACTTTGACATGGGATACTTATACTTGTTGCTATCGTAGCGGCAGCAATGCAATCAATCCAGCGTCAACGTTCTCTAGAAGTGGAGACAGCAGGAGAGAGGGGGTGACTTGAACATCCAAGGGGTTCAAGTGCAACCAGATGCAATCAGTCAAGCCTAGGTGCGAGCGCGTGAGCGCTCGCATGCTTACGGACGCAAAGGCTACCGAAACCGTCTGCCTTTCTGCACATTCACCCGGGGTCCGTTTCTCTGACAAGCACTGCAAAGCGGAGCTCAAGATTGCAAGGGCAAAACACCTCCCATTCGGAGCCGCTTGCGGAAAATGCGCATCACGCATTCCGTGGAATGGCGTGCCTGGCTTATGGTGCAGGCACGATCCAATCCTCCTTCCAAACCAAAGCACAGACAGCTCCCTGTGCGGCTTGGCACTTCACAGCAGCACCCTGAATAAAAAAAAAACGCCGCTTTTGCGGCATCCTTGTGCCTGGAAGCTCTGCCATTTCATTCACAAACTTGCACGCGCATACGCAGCCTGTGAAACTTGCAGCTTGCAAGTGGCTTGGCCGCAGCTGTCATTTCTTCTTACCGGGTTTCTTCTTTGTTTTGCCTGGCGAAGAATCCTCAAACTCCGCCAGGATCCGGTCCAAGTCCTCTGATAGTCTGAGGTTGGAAGTGCCAGACAACCTCGTGCAAGCTCCTCATCGGTCTCCTTTTCCTTCTTCTTTTTCTTCTCGGGGCCTTCACTTGAAAAGCCGTTGGCTGTTACAGCAGAAAGTGGCAGTCTTTTGCCTGGCTTGGAAGGTGGCTCAGAAGGTTCCTGTGGCCCGTGGCGAGTCTTTTGCCAAATTACAGATTCTGCCAAGCTCATCTCTCGATGGTATGTCCTGTGCCGGCGACCACGTTGGCACCAGCAAGCCGTTCACAACGTCGCGCTGCCAGTCTGTGACTGCACCATTCTCATTATTTGGCAGGTTGCACCTGACTAGCTTCATGTCTCAAGGCAATCTGCAAGGCCACGTGCAGACTGTCTGGCTTAGTTGTTCGCAGACTGTTGGCTTGGGGCCAGGCGAGTGAAGAAAGGATCCGACCACATCCCTCAGACGATTCCGGGCCTTCTTGACCTGGTCATGGGGATGCAGCCAGGGGCTTTGGGGACAGGCTTCTATAAGGCCATGGCACGGTTGCGCAAAGCATTCTCTAGCCGCAAGTTTGCGGGGGGTGCCAGCGCCAGGGGCCAAACGCTACCAGCTTTTCCCTCGCTGACCTCAGCTTCTGGATTCGACATGAAGTCCAAGTCCGCAAGCCTGAGAACGCCGACCAGTGCAACAGCGCGGTCAAGCGGATCTGACTGCGTGTCAGTCAGCTCATCTCTCAGCTCCACCATCTTGCCCTTCAGCAGTCCCAACCTGAAGCTCTCAAGCTGGAAGCTGCTCGTTGCAAATCCTGAGCTCCGTACGAAGCTGCGAGAGCTTTGTCTTCGTCCACAGCTACTTGTAAAGAGGCTGCCAACTTTTCGTCGGAAAGCGGATCAAGCTTGGCCAGCCTGCACCCAAAGGATTGCAAGACTTCATTTGCAGCTTCTTCTGATGCTTTGCAAAGTCAGTTGAGGCAAACATCTACTGTCGGCCGTCAGTCCTTCCTACTGAGCAGCGGCCTCTCGAGGCGATCCTTTGCGAAAAGGTTCACCAGCCGCTCGAGTTCCAACTTCTGGGAGCAGACATACAGTTGAACTACAACAAATTGGCTACGCATGCTTTGTTGCTTCCTTTCTCTCTTGTGTGTACGTTTTTGCTCCTCGTGCCTCCTTCTCAGCTTGGGCAGCCTGGCGGTCTCGTTGCGCCTGTTCTTGGGCTTTCTGCTTGGCCAGCTCACGCTGCTGCTCCTTGCGAAGTCGCTCCTCCTCTTCCTTCCAGGAACCATTCAAGTCAGCTTTATGCTGTAGGAAGTGCTCCCGAAAGCGCAGAGAGAGAAGAACGCGGAGCCTGTTTCTTCTGCTTCTCCTCGGCCTTCTTTGCTTTCCTGTAGAAAGAAACATGTCAGTGCCGCCGTGGGAGGTCGGGTGTCCCAGTGCTTTCAAGCGGCATCTCCTCCTTCTTTTCTTGCTGTCGCCTGGCAGCCTTGCAGAGAATTGACCTACCGTGCCCACCTGCAGGCAAGCTATAAAGAGCAGCCCACCTCCGCAGCTGCCTCGGTGACTCAGCACCATTGTGACGTCAGTCACACACACACGTAAGGCAGTTCGGTTTTGGTGCTGGTCGCTATACCAGCTGCAGCCAGGGCTCGGCCTCTCTTTTTTTCTGTTCCTGCGTTCCATAAGCGCTTCATGTTTTAGATTTCGGTCGCTCTGTAGGGGAATCAGGCCTCTTTTTTCTTCTTCTCCTCAGCCCTCTCTGCAGCCAATCGGGCACGTTCCTCCGCCTTCTCCTCTTGCATGCGCCAGGTGCTGCCCGAACTGTGAGAAATGAATCAGCAGCCAACGCACAAGCGCGCCTGGTCCTTTTCGGCCTTGGATTCAGGGCGCGACTCCCAATTGCATAGCACTCAGGAGCATGAAGTGTGCTGAATCACCTTCAAGGTTGGAGAGTTCTCGCTTGCGTACCATTGTGAGTTGTCTGATGCTGTGAGGACGAATCAAACACATCCCCCACACAGAGTTCAAGACTGCAAACTCCTGCGGAAGGGCGCCAGCTCGTAAAGTCTGGTCTGAAACATTGCCCCACAAGAGGTCGCGGTACAGGCCCTAAGCCAAAATGGCTATTACGTTTATGGGGAGCCAAACTCTCTCGTTTTCTCTCTCTTCATCTCTCGCTCGCCCGCTGAACTCGGAAACCAGAAACTGTAAACCTGGAATCCACACTTTTTCCTCCCACTTGATCTTAAGAGAACCGCTGCGTGATCCGGGGCAAAGAGGAGATCATTAGCAAAACTCCCCGAGAGACGCAGCCTGCCTTGACTGGAATTTTGTTGCATCGCTTTAGCAAGTGCTTTCCTGCTTTGAAAGGTGAGTGTACTCTCCTTGCTCTCTTCTTCTTATTCTTCTTCTCCAGTGCTAGGAGGTCCTAGAACCCCCTGAGGCACAGCCTCGCACCCACGCAAAGGTCGCAGCTTTGCTCTCTGCGCTCTGTCACTTTCTGATGACAAGTGGCTTGTCGTCTCTCGCTTTCACGCCGTTCCTCTGTGGTCTGCGCATCCTGGCTTTTCACTTTGGTGGCTTTGGTTGATGGGTCCTCAGAGCTGAATCCAGCCGCCCTCCCCTCCTCCTGCGAATCTGTTGGCCCGCTCGTCGTGCTGGTGGCATCCTCGCTCACCTTTCGCATTGCAGCCATTCAGGTCTGGCGGACCTCAACTTGCAGGCAGGCCTTCATTGGCGCGAGGCCGATAGACTCAATTGCCTGCACATTGGAGTCAGGAAGGGGCAGTCGGGTGATTGTGAACGTTCCTGAGGTTTACTCCTAGATGAATAAGAGCAGGCACGAACAGGCATCAGCCTTGTGGAAGAGGCTGGCTGCCGCCATGGCATCGCCGCCTGACGTCAAGGCCTTCTCGATCTGATTTCCGAGCTCCTTCAACTGCTCTTCCTCAGCTGGAAGCGCTGAGCACCAGCTGTGCATATCATTGAGGTTATCCGCATAGAAAAGATAAACGAGTTGAGTTGTTGAGTCTGTCTGAGCATCGGTGAACTGCAGGCAGACCTCGTTGACTTGCTCAAGGACCACGTGCTCTTTTACAGCCTGGGCAGGAGGCAAGGACACAGGCAGGCTTCAGCGGCAAAGAATAAACACTTTACATGCTTTGCTTTGAATGTTCCAACATTTCGGCTGAAATTAATGAGTTTCTGGCCGGGTGGAAACTTCGAAGCCGCTGCCGGCACTTCTTCACTCGCTCCTGTGACAGGTTCTGACAAGACTTGCATCCTTCGAACCCCTCTTATACACCCTGCTTGGATTCTCGCCTTGATGGCATCCTCAGCGCTAGGCAGCTATACAGCCGAGTTTGCTTCGTGCACGACTGAGTCACGAGCCCGCTTGGCCTTCTCATCCTTGCGTTTCTGCTCCTCCGCCTGCCGAAGCTGTGCTGGCAGCTCATGACTGTCATCACTCGATTTCACTTACACTTCCGGTGGCCGACCAGGCGGGCAGCTTCTTCAGCTGCGCGCTGCTGTCGCCCCATCTGCCGGATGCAAGCTGCTGCAAGCTGCTCTAAACACCATACTCTTGCTGACTCACGTTCATCTGCACGCGAACACCACCCGTGGCTGCATTGGCCGCCCTTGGCGTGTTCAAGCTCGGACCTTTTTCCCCAACAGTCCGGCCATGTCAGCTTCGGGGTGCACAGCACCAGTCTTCCGCCTGAACATCCCATGTCAACTGCATGAACGGCTGGGTGATACATCGGAGCCAGGTCTCAATGGCGACTAAAAAGGTCGCGAGACTTTGCAAGATGCCTTCTGGCTTGGCTTGCGCTGCCAAACAACTGTTTGTCTAGTCGTCTGCGGCCATGGAGTCGTGCCTCTTCTTTGGATACCTTGGGAGAACCAGAAATCTTCCCAGTGAGGGGAGCACCGCAGCATTGAAATGACAAAGCCGGAACTTTGTTCGTTTCATCCTCCAAAACACACCTATCCCGTCCATTAGAGCTTGAAGTTGATAATGAGAACCCTACCATCAGCATGGAGATTTTTCTTGCAGGCTTCCGCAGGTGCTGGAAACAATCGCAGCACGGGGGTTTGCGCGCTGTCACCTGCTAGCGGGTGAGAAATGCGGCTTGCATTATTTATTGAGCGAATTTTGCAACATCCTGGAAGTGCAGGGCAAACACTCTTGTACCTGGATCGACACGCATCTGAGGAGTTGTGCGGCAAAAATTCGCACTGTGGACGTGTGCAACTGTGGCAAGCTTTCCCAGTTATTGTGGCGTTATCGTACGTTTCACCTGTGGAACTTGAGCGTGCATTGAATCTCAAGGCGCTCAAGGCGTGCCAGATCATGTACCGTGTGCATGAAGCGTAACAGATGATGTTTGAGCAGTTGAACAGTTTTCATGCAACTTTTCTTGCGCCCTCGTGGCTGGGGATGTTGGTCACGTCGCCTTTGAAAGTGTGTGGGGAGATTGTCATTGTCCAGATATGGCAAAAATAGGTCCTGACTACACAGCTCCTGCACACCCACGCCTTTTCTGTAGGCAGCGGGGTGTCTGTGTCTGAGCCACACAGTACATGTGCACACAACTGTTCCCGTGTACACTGCTCATGAACTGCTGTTGTGCTACACTTCCATGTCTAACACCCCGCCTTAGAAATTAGTGAATGATAAAACCTTGTCATGACATGACTTCTACACTTACAGACATTTCCTGCTACAGTTGAATGATAAAACATTATCCTGGCGTGACTTCTACAGTTACAGACATATCCTGCTACAGTGGGACGCGTGACTCCATCACACACATCACTTCATGTTATTACAACATCCTATTTTGGAACTTGTGCTGTTATTTTTTCTGAAGCACAACACAACAAACCAAATTCCTTCTATTCTATGAATGGCTCTCGTAGTAGTGGTCGTTGTTGGACGTCTCCTGGATATCTACCATTTTGTCCAAGTCTTTCTTTGGTTTCTTCTGTTCCTGCACTGGGCGTTTCCGCGCAACTTTGTCCATGTCGTGCTGTCCTTCGCATCCTGTCAGAACAGCTCATTCCTGGCATTCTTCCACCACGCGTACATCTTGCCGTTGACCTCTCAGTACTCCAACTGGTCGGCATTGAGGTCTTGATCTTCTTTTCCTTTGGTTCTTCCTTTGTTCGTCTTGTTGCCCTTCCCTCCTTCTTCTAGGAGGGTTGACGACCTTGCAGCTTCTGTATCCTTCTAGTCTTTTTCATCCTCCTCATCTTCCTTTGTTCTCTTCTCTTCCTTCTTTCTTTCTTTCCTCAAGCTCAAGCCTCAATCTCTTCAGCTCCTATATGGAAAGACTGTTCTGAAACGTTATTGTCTTCTTCCTTTCCTCCTCAAATGCCTCATGCTGTTTCTCAACTGCTCTCTGCTGCTCCGTCCTGATCTTTTCGCTGTACCTTAGCTCTCTCCTCTCATTTCTTCGTGCGTGCGAGTCACTACGTGTTTGAATCAGCTTGCATCTGCTAGCCGTTTTGGTTCGGAGGAACTCACAGTTCTTTAGTTGTAGCAATCACGCACAGGCGTTTATCGCATCAGGATGTTGGGTAGGCAAGTAGCCAACTAACTTACCAGGATTCTTCTGCTTTGCGGTGTGTCGTGAATCTGCCTCGGGAGCTTTGCTTACGAAGGTTAAGAGCCGAAGCAGCAGGAGAAACTGCTGACTCTGGTGGGCAAAGGGAACAGCTAACGGAGGAAGCTGAATCCGCTGAAGCTAGGGCAAGTTTGGATATGCCTAACTTTTTAGGGAGTGAAAGGGCTTCGGATGAGTTTCGGCTGAGACAGGCCAGACCTTTGGAGCTCGGTGAGCATGATGATCGTCAACTTGAACCTAATTTACATGGGGTCAGAAAGAGATCAGAGCGTTGAGTATAGGTCAAGGGAAGCGCTCCGCGCGAGGGCTTCGAGTCCTGTTCCAACCACAGATTCCAGGACACAGTTGGGCAATCAATCAACCAGGTGGAGCATCGTCAGGTGCCCCCCCAGTCTTCGGGATCGAGATCGCCGGCCCGGGAGCACTTTGCGGGCATGAAGGAACTTCTCATGTCAGTTGGAGGCGCCATAGCTAGTTTGGCAGAGGAGCATAAGACTACCCAGCAAAGGCTTGCTAGAGTGGATTAGCTGAGAACCTAGAAGATATTCCGAGGTTGCAAGATTTAGAAATTGCTAGGAGGATGCCAGCGAGCCTGGCGCCGGGGCCTCCCCGTTTCGCGCACCAAATCAGGCCGTAGACGCAGGTTGGGCTGCACGATATCTCGGCCCAGGCACCAGGTGTAGGTAGCTTAGCCCATGTGGCATTTTTACGGCAACAGGCACAGGTTGCTCGGTCCAGGCCCACTCAGCATCTCCGTCGGCCCAGGCACCAGGTATAGGTTGCTCGGCCTTACTTGCGTTGGCACACGCACCGCTCAGCCGGCACAGGCACCAGGTATAGGCTTAGGGATTATAATTTTCAAATCAAATGGACCGCCTCCTGCGGAAGCTATGGAGTGGCCTTGACTGAAATATGGAGCCTCCTCCTGTACCCCAACATGGGGGCAGTAGAAACCTTGACGCTTGTTGTCGGTACGGTTTCGGTTACTTCAGGGTTGTACTGGCAGGAGGCGTCCGGGTTGTTCTCTAGATGGCTCGCCGGCGATCCACTTAAAGGCTAAGTGTCACGTCAGAAGCCGATAGTTGGGTGTGTGCCTCTCAGAAGCATATTTTGATAAAACAGCACTTAACTGTTCTGCTCATGCGTGCAGTTCCTGCAGAGATCCCAATGAATTGGTCGCCGTGAGGGCAATGACGTCGATGGCAGTACTAGTCGCCGTCCTCACCAGGTATCAATGTATTGGGCCCAAGGAAAGGGCAAAAGTGCTTGCTGTCCTGGTGTCCCCCGAGCGACCTAGTACGATTGGAGGTGGAATTGGAACTTGTAGGAGGTGGCCTAGGCAACTCCAACGTACTAAGGAAGTGAATTTGATGCTCCCGGACGCCACTCTTCTCATAGAGGGCGCGGATTCCCTGCTCGGCCCGGTCCTCACCAAGAGCCAAAAGTCCATCTTCCGATTGAACTCGCTCCGCAATGAACGAATAAGCTTGTATACGCCCCGACTTACGAAGCCATCGTGGCATTCGACCAGCTCATCCTTGCGGAATATGAATTGTTGCAACATAGCGAACCTCCTGAATCTAGGAAATCCACACTGAACAAGGTTCAATGAAGGAGAGGAGGGGTGTTGATTCAGGGGAGTTAAAGGAGGTATACGGGTAACCAGCCTGGATATGCCTCTAACGGGAACCCAAACTCAAAGGAATCCCCTAAGCAGCCTTGCAAGTACTGGTGCATCACAGGTATGGGTTGCGCAAAGGCCGCACGGCGCCCAGAACTTCACAACAAAGGGACCAATAGGTGCTGGGTTTGTTCGAGTACACAGCATCGTAAGCAGGCGTGCCCAAGGTTGAACAAGGAGGCCATGCCAGATCCCGCGGCAAAGCCTCAGGCAGAGCCTATAAGGTCAAGGTGACCAAGGAGAGTGAGCCAACCCCATCTTTGGCCCCTTGCTCGCCACGGCAGCCCTGCTGAAGAATCTTAGGGTAAGCAAAGTTGGGCACTGTCACACATCAGCTAGGGCTCTCCTAGATTCGGGCGCCACCGCGTGTATGAGGACAGCCCAGGAAAGCGAGATGCGTGGATGGCCGGAACGTACTGTACACCTAGCGCAAGTTGAGGTAAGGCTTAGAGTCTTAGCTCACTGATGAGCATGTGGACCCAATCATTTCACTACATCGATTACGCCAGATTGGATTTAGAATCGATTGGAGCCATGAAGCCGGGCGTCGGGTTACGTGCCCAGGAAGGCCTACTTGCGAGTGTACACCGACAACGGGTGTCCAGAGATTGACCGACAGGCAGGATGGAACTTGATCCGAGAGACTGAGGAGTATCAAACCCAGCACGCATCCCTTCGAGCACTCAGGTCTCGGAGCGTTGAACCCTCAGATCAGTGGGATCTGCAGGCCGTTCTTATTGGCCGTTCTTATAAGGCCCTTCCCATAGACTCGTCTCTTGCTACTAAGTGGCTTGCCGATAAGTTCCCTTCTGCGCCAGCTGAAATCATAGCCAGGGCGCCGGTCCCTTCTACGTACGACGCCTCGAAGGTGCCCAGTCCTTCCACCAGTGCCGGTTTTGAAGCTGGTAGAGCTATCAGCCGTGGTTAGGCACGTTAACAGCGCCCCAAATCACCCAAACGAGGCTGGTAGGCTTTATCAGCGGCTGATAGGAGTTAACAGTGTCAATTTCAGCGCTGGTGCTTCTACCAGCGCCGAAAACGACGCTGTTAGCTAGCAGTGAGCAAACTGAGATACCAGTGTCCTTTTTAAAAACGACGCTGGTACGTTAATTGCTAAGTTGCTCGTATAATACGTATAGAATACACGTATATATATATATATATGGCGCCGTTGCCTGGGCTATACATGTATATATATATATATCCCAGGCAGCGGCGCCGTATATGTATACGTATATATATATATACACACGTATAAACACGTGTGTATATATATATATGTATTTATTTATACGCCCATTATAGTCCCTCGCTATATTATCACCCCCTCTGCAGAATCACCCCTGCGCGTGTAGCGGCGGATGTTATAGCTACGCGTGCCGCGCGTGCGTGATTTTTTAGGCAGCGGGCGTAGCGCGTGCGTCATGTTTGTAGGGGCGGATTTAGGCTCGGTTT